GTGTGTGTGCGTGTGCGTGTGGTTGTGTGTGTGTGTGCGTGTGCGTGTGGTTGTGTGTGGTTGTGTGCGCGCAAGATAATCTCAGTTTTCAAAATAAAAGCTAGAAGACGAAGGGGAAAATTCAACAGCAGCATGTGGAAATGAGACATTTAAAGAGGGTATTAATTAACCTGACTTGGATGAGCTTTTATTAAATGTCACGTAAGTAGCCACCAAATCAATCAAGTTGAAATTATTAAAACATATTATTGCAATATTATTATTATTATTATTGCAATATTATATTATAAAGGCTTCATGAATTCCGGCAGCTTTTTTCTAGTTCGCTCTTTTGGTTACTGTGAAACATTTATTTAGCATTTTTAACTCAAATTTAAGGAGCAGCTAGGCTATATTTCACCATTTTATTTTAATAAAAACATAAATATATTGTTTTGAAATATTATGGGGATTTTGCAGTTTTTTTCTAAGTCGAAAGGAAATGTTAATAAAGCTGGGAAGGTAAATTGATTTATTTTACACAAATTTTATAAAATACAACATTCTTTCAGACACAAAGTTGTGTGAAAATTGACAAAAGAGGAAAATTAATAGTATTATTATTATAATTAATAGGAACTACCATGGAAAAGCCCAATCGAAACTCAGTATAATGTGGGCCCACTTACACATTATAATCGCTAAAGGAAAATTATGTATGTTTTAAAATATATAATTAAATTAATTAATTGAATTAAATTAAAATATATAATTAAATGCTCATGTTTTCATACTGAATTCATCTTACATGATATAACCTGCTTCCACAGATTTGTATACACTGTAGCTATGTATATTCATATTTTCTACCAGATTATTACCATACTGATGGTATGTGTTTACAATGGTAGTTAAGCATGCATAATGCATTCAGATACAATACTTATAGTACAAGTATGTGGTAAAGACTAACACTTTACTTCCATGTATAAAACATAAAATTGTGCATTTTACAAAATAGATGATTTTTGAAGATTGTTTATATTGGCACATGCTGTAATTGCTCCTGCTTGTCAAAAAAATACATGTATAATACCCCTATGTGTGAGAGATTTGTAGTAAGTTAATAAAGACAAGAGGCAAAGAAATCTATCAGTTCTTTTTGGTGGGTTTAATGTGTCCAGGATCAATAAATAGTTATTCAAGATGTTACAATAAATCAAGGAAAAGCTTCATTTGATAATAACATCCATGTTAATGAATCAAAATGTTGTGATTTAAGTAGAAGTACAGTTTTGATAATTGGACTCACATTTCAATACTATGTATGTATTAATGTGCTTTACTCCTTTCTCATAATACTGTTATTGCTTCACGACTTCAATCTGGATAACATCTCTACATCATTACAATGATGTTCTCCAGATTGCGTCCATTTAGAAAGCTTTTTTAGATTACAGATTGAAAATCAATTAGAAGTAACTCCTGGATTACAATCACAAAACTGTACAAAATATAAATCATTATTATGGAATCACAAAAAATTGATAAAGTATTAAAGCAGATACTGTAAACAAAGTAAGTGTATGGCACAATCAGTTAATATTAGTGATGAATGGATGTTTTTCTGATCTAATGGGACATCAGCAAATTCCCAAAAAGTTTCTGTACTCCTGTTTGATGCAGCTGAAGATGGGATGGTAGAAGTGCCTGTCTGGCCCCATGAGGTCAGTGACCATCTCTGTGTGGTCAACTCTGGGCAGCATGTAGAGCGACACCTTTACAGACAGCGAGGTGAGGAGCTCAGAGAGCTTTGTGGAAGATTCAGCGGGAACGATAATGTCACTGGTCCCGTGGAGCAAAGCAAACGGAGGCACTCTGGCAGAAACAAGAGAAGACTGTGGGTAAAAAAATGTCATATTTGTATTCAAAATCACATCGCTCATAATCGCTGCCTCACCTGCTCAGTTTGTCCTGGCTCAAGTTCTCCAGTAAGTATGTTGGTGAGTAGTACGGGAAGTTCTCCACTCCATTCATGGCTTTGTGCATGGTGGAGACATATTCGACTCCTCGCTTCCGCTCGTGCTCATAATGGTCCATGATGTTGTAAACGCCGCTCAGACCTATACAGAAAATGTGAGAGTTCTTAATCTCATTCTCACAAAATCCTGGAAATCAGTTTTATCAAAATATGAAGGAGGCAAAAGTTTAAAGTATTATTCACTGTGTACAATAATTGTATTTCAAGAACTTTACTGCCCTCAAGTCATAGCAATTTCTAAAGCATAAAACGGGCTTGCAACTGTGAATGAAACTGGGTGATGCACTGTACAATTATCCTTACCAATGACTCCTCTGATCGCCAGTGTAACGTCCCTCTGCTTGCTGGCCTCTATGAAAAGCTCCTCTCTTGCATCAATGAGAAACAGCGTGGTCAGTGCACACAAATGTGCACCCGCTGAGTGGCCAATCAACACTATGTTGTCCTATTAAAGACACAAAAATATGACAACAGCATGTGTATTAGTATTATTAGTAACAGAACATCAGTATTTTAATTGGTTAATAAATTAGAATCAGATTAAGGGAGGGATATGGGGTGGGTACAATGTGGGATAATGTTTATGTGAGTTCAGTATGTTTGTACATGTAAGTGTATGTTTATATAAATGCAAAAGTTATATTTAAAAAAAAAACTGATTAGACAGTTCAGAGCTGCTCAAACTGGAAAAATATTTAGAATTTATTCATGAGTCTTAACTGTGAGTTTGAAGGTCCCATGAATTTCCGTTATATCATTATTTTCTTCCATGCTTGGACAATTTTGTGCATAAAAAAGGATTTTGGCAAATTGGAATGGATTCAGGAAATGTTAAGCCACCACCTGCAGGTTTTATGTGATTTCATGGAACCTTCAAAGTTTTCCTTCTTTTGGGGATTTATAATAAATGGTCCATCTTGCCATTCTTTTCTCCAGTTTTTCTTCAATTTCCAAAGAATACTTATATCTTACTTTGTCAAAGTTGAACTTCAGTCCACTCTCTTGGGCCCAAACCAAGCAGTCAGCAATATCTTGGACCATCCCTAAAACGTTCCCCTGGCAATCAGACGAAACCAGCAGTCAGTTGAGATACCACAGATACCAAAGTAACATTTATAATTAAAATTCTTATCTGCCGTTTGGCTTACTATACATTATACTATATGTATAATTCGTACCTAAAGTACTGTTCATATTTCAGCTGTTCACTCTACGTATGTGCTAGAATACCAACAAGACTGCTGTGTTTTGTTCTAAAGCTTTTACCTTTGGATAGGTGCTGTAATCAGGACAAATGACAGTAGCACTCAGTTCCTCAGCCATCTGCCTGGCCAGCAAACAGTAAATTGATTTTTCGCCGGAGCCCCATGCACCTCCATAGATGAAAACCACCAAAGGGGCAGGCACATCTTTGGACCTGCCCATGTTTGGAGGGTGGTACAAGTCCAGCTTATTGCTTCTGCGACCAAATGGGATGCCCTGTGAACAGACGGACAAAACTGTGAATTTTGACACAATTTTTGGTATAGTAAATTTCCTAGGGACCAAAGTGGTGAAAGAGACAAACATAACACAGTGGGATTATTTCATTTTAAATATTTACTGAAATGTCTGGTTCCATATAAAGACACATTGATAAACAACCATATTTTCTTTCTAACTTATCATTCACACACCTTTTCATAATGCTTACGGTTTTCGTCATTCCTGTACCATAACTTCCACTGAAAGTAGAGTCTCCCATATTGCAGATATTTGACCGTTTCCAGCACAGCTTTGGTCAAGCAGTATATCCGCCTGACGGAGAGGCCAAATATTAAACAGGGGATTAATGACTGATTACTCTTCTTAACGAGTAGAAACACAGAGCCAAACTATATTTTGTGGGACAAAGAATAGATGCACAGTATTTTACAAGTTACCTTGGTTTTAGTGCTTCTATGTACTTCTTATATCCAGGCTTGTTGGGCCAACCATAAATCCACTGAGCAGCTAGAGAGATAGAGTATGGAAGCCCCACCAACATGACACCCACTGCCACAGGCAATGACATGTGATACTTTAACCTAGACCTCCAGAAGGAAATATATATACATATAGTTATTAAGATATCAGTCCTTCAAAAGTAATTTCAGTCAATGTTCAACTAAAAATGCTGTATTTCAGATTTTCTTACATGTTGCGGTTCAGTCGGTCCGTCGTACCTACAAAGAACAAAAGATTCAGAAAACGTATAATTAGTTATATTGTTATCATACACGCAACAGGTAAAGTGTAAAATAATAATGCATCCCAAGCAAAGTGCATACTACAGTGGCAGTTTTCTGAACCACTTTCTAATAAGACACCCTTTGTAAAGACTTTATCAATTGCAATGACTGGCTTCAGTTCAAATAACCTACTAAGGTGTTATATCCCAGTTACATACAAGGTTGGCATCCTCATCCAGCTCTTTAGTTAATCAGGTATAAGCTCCAATAGACTACTTGACCTCTGAACTTTTAGAAAAATGCTGCAAAGCCTCTGGACTGAAATCCATTTCAACTTATTATTAACATTTATAATTACATATGAATTACTATGTTTTGCTGTTGACTTATTTTTTTCCCCAACATGGCAACCTGAATGTTGTTTTAATTAATGACCTATCTACAGATCATTAGTTTATGGCTCATAAAGCATTAATAAAAGCATCATTTACAACTTACAGCGTTATAAATGGTGACTTAGTAAGTGGAAACATTACCCAGTTTTCTTTGCATGTACCAGGGCGTCCTCTAGTGGGCTTTTACACAATAACAGTGCTGCATTAAATCATTGTTAAAAGCCTCATCAGTGCCTCCAAAAAAAGAAATCACTTTAACCACCTTTTAAAAAGGACTAACAACGTTACATCATGAATTGGTGTTAGCTAGCTATGAGGTAACTTACAATAAGGCTGAATTCTACCAAAGCTCAAATATGTCACTTGTGGTCACCAGCTTTTCACAATGTCGGTGTCAAGCTAACAATAAGTTACCAACGCTCTCAGTTTTAACACACCGTGCAAACAGAAGAGCCATTAAAGCTGAATTAGCGGTAAAGTTTTCCTTACGTGGATCCTTTGTAGCGTTGTTGTTATTGTTATTTGCCTCGAGAAACACAGGAAAGGTCATGAAATATACAGGAAGCCAACGTAAACGTACCAGAATGTAGTCATATATCGCACTTTATGCCGATGCCCATACCGCAGGAGGAGGTGATCTGTTGTTATGTTCGCTGATGCTGTAGATAACCGCAGTAGACTACAGCTACAGTTACCTGACTGTCCTCCAAACGCCGGTGTCGGCCTCACACATACAAAGAGTAATGCGACAAAGCGAGAGCGCAACCCTCCTTCACTTCCGTTTTAGCAAAAACGAGAGCGCTTTGGGTGGTCAGGGGTATTTTAAATCCTACCTGGTGAGTGGCCGTATAGTTGATATCATAGACATTATAATTTACGGATAAGGTCACCTTGATTGTTGATGTGGCTACATGTTTGTATTGCGTGTAGCGTGGCTTCTGTGTCGGCAGGAAAAGACGGATTTCTATCTTGTCATAATCAACATCTCTGCTTTGATACCCCGGAAATGCATACTAAAGAATTAGATAAGATAAGAATTAGCCGCTGCCCTTTCATGTAAAGAGCAGAAAATCTAATCAAAATCATTTATTGGTGGCAATCTTCTATTTCTTTCCCTTTTTTTCGAAGTTCTAAACTGCAATTTGACGGGAAAATGGGAAAAAATGATATGAAAATATGAAATGATGATGATAAAACTTAACTACCTGTCTTTTTGGAGCTTTCAAACACATCTCATGGTCTTCCTCAGCATATGGAGTTTTCTCAGTTGTTATTATTGCTCAGCTGTCATGACACGACCTATAGCGAACAGCTGAGCTATATTGTGACAACTCTGCAGTCCATCTACTGAGGAAGACTGTAAGATGTGGCTGAATGCTTTAAAAAAAGCTAGTTATAACAGTTGATTTAATGAAGCTGGGAGCTGGGGTGAACCTGGTGAAACCAAAGAAGCTGCTAAATGACAGTTTAATTTAATTTAGTAATCTGACTTTAAGTTTTGTCTGTTTTTTGTCAAACTATATTGTTTCATTTAAGTGTCCACTTAATTAACTGTGGTCAATCATTTACCACTCAAACTTCTTCCTTTAGGAATGACTGAAACATAGTGTTGAGGAAAGTTTATTTGTTTAAACACACACACGCATGTTGTTGCAGGTTGGCCTCCAGGTCCAGTTATACATCCCCCACATTTCCACACATTGATTCAGGTCAACATTTGTCTAACAAATGTTTATATACGAGACTCTGAGAAGCATTTTATAATGACAGTGGACTTAATATGTGTGAGCATTACTAGTTTTCTATTTTAACAAATGTACGAAATACATATACATTTAGCTAGCCCCATAGCAAATAGTGCTGCTGTGGCATCAACTAACATTAGCTGATAAACCCTATAAAGATATTTCTTTTTAAGTTATAAGGGCAGCTATTTTATTATTTTAGCATTAGGTTAGACTACGCTGTACTTCCAACTGCTTCTCTTACTCTTTCCAATACAAAAGTTTAGTTTATGAAAACTAATGAATCAATCATGATTGTTTTAGCAATATAAACAGATTCCCTTTATACTGCAGCATTTAGTAATTCAATTTACAAAACCTTTAGTCTAACTGATTTGTCATCACTACTCGTAAATTTGTTATCAAACGGACGTGTGTTTAGCTCACTGCATAGCAAAGTTATCAGATTAAATATACATTTGAAAAAAGGAGATTACTTTCAGATTTCTTAATCAACATCCATGGGACATAGACATTACAAAAACATATATATATATAGTAATTCAACTGAACAAATCAGTACCCTTCAAACTGTATGTAATGTTTAAATAATCAAATGTAATTGGTGTCCAATGGATTGATGTTAATGGATTACAAAGAAACAGGTAAAAACAGTGACATTTAATCACTCTACTGCGGAGGAATCAGTAGCTCTGACAGAAATCAGCACTGCGAGCACATGCCCAGCAGAGGGAGCAAGAATTCTGTCACTCGCTCCTTGAATTGTAGTTTCATAGATTTCTCAACAGCTTGCCAGCAATAATTCAGCCAGACGGTATGTACCCTATAAAAGGAGACTAAACACAGTTATGTAAGATGTGAATGTAAATCAGTGAATGTTTGCTTTACACTGAAGCACAAACAGGAAAGCACTGATTCTGATTATGCAAGTTTGAGCCCTGTAACTACAATACATCACAGTTATATTATATTACTGGGCGATTACTCAAGTCTTTGGTCATCCTCATACTGTACTGGCTTGAGTAAAAAACTTTGGCTGCTGTTTTATGATATTCTTTCAGAAAGAAATATTTTTTAGAAGAAATTGACAAAAAATTTAAAAAACACTCATATTTTCCTTCATGAAACTATTTAATTAACTAGAGATATACTTTTGCACCCCACATAGATATACAATTATTACACCTCTGTGCTCTAATGCCCTTCTTGCACTGACATTCACAGAGGGTAGTGCAGTACTGGACAGAGGCTTCATTGGCCATGACCATGGAAAAACCTTGAATTCAACATTGCAGATTCATTGAAAGCAGAGCAGCGTACGAGCACTGACCAACTCAAGGGTTATTGTTATGTTTGGCCCCACAGAGCGGAGCCTGCAGCCCTGAGTGGGTGTGCGGTTGTTCCTCCATCTGCGCCGATGTGGGGAGGCCCAGGTGCTTTTTCAGAAGCCACAGTGGAAACGGAGCTGTTGAGTGAGTGCAAACTCAGGCATTCAGCTGGCAGCACGAGCGGAGTCAGCCTGTTTTAAACGCTGTGGCGAGATTTTACAGCATTTTCCCGTGCCTGTTTAAAAAGTATATTATCCTTGGGGGAATGATTGTATGCATAGTGGTATTAAGATAATAACAACTGACGTACACATGCCTGTATTCTGTGTAGGCGTAGAGGAGTCCTAGGGTGCTTCTTTGTGGAAAAGGTTGTAGAAGTCATTTCATTTTGTAGCAAAGTGGGAGACAATAAGAATATAGTATGCACATTGTAAAACAACATTGGTCAGTATCTGCCTTTAGGCCTGTATTAAAGGGCACAAATCCTGAAAATCAGTGACAAGAAGTCACAATGATCATAATTTCTGCTCTCTGAGGCTTTCAGATCAAATCAAAGCTCAGTGATTCCTCGGATGCTGCAGGGAAGCACAGTGAACCATCACACTGCGTGTCCTTCAACGCCTCAGGCCTTCATGGCAGCAAACAACTGTCCTACTGACATGTCCTGAAGCAAGACGCTGAATCACCACCAGCTGCTGTGATGCTGCTCTGCTCTGTGGAGGATACAAACAGTCTGTTCCTCTTCATTCATTCACATCAGAAGACTACTACAGATATTTTGGGAAAACAAACCCTCATAATCCAATCTTTCATGGCTAGATGTTTACTAACACATGATGTTTGCACGTAACCAGGATACAAAATCAAAACAAAATCATGATGTGATAAACACAACCGATTTTTCCTGCAAGCCTGCATGTCTACGTGACTAAGCGATAAAATACTTTTTTTTTTAAGGTCCAGTGTGTAACATGTAAGAGGATCTATTGGCAGGAATGGAATATGTATGTGAATGTGAATAGGTGTGTTGTCATAAGTTTTTATCTAGAGGGAGCAGGTCCTCTTCTACGAAGTCCACCATGTTGAACTGTCACATTTCTACAGTAGCCCAGAACAGACAAACTAAACACTGGCTCTAAATAGGGGCCTTTTGCTTTTTTCGCAAGTTTTGCGGCCACTTCAGTTTCCCCTCCGTGCTTGGTGGAGTTGAGAGGTTTCAATGTCTACTCTAGATTCCACTGAATCCTGCACACTGGTCGTTGACTGAAACAAAGAATTAAATTCTTCGCTCCACTGCTTTCAGATTTATTTAGCTTCATAGGAGAAACTTCAGGCTTTAGTGGCTTATCTGGTTTCCTTTTGACCACTACTGGGAAATCCAGTATTTATGTTAGGATGGCTTATCATCCACTACTTCTGGTGAGTCATTTTGGGAGTTTCATGTTAAACCAAAGCTTCCTACTTTGTGTGTCCAAAGAAAACAGAGGGAGTGCCAAGAGGATTTCCAAGAGATGATTCATATGTAAACTACACTGAATAAAATAAAAAAAATTAAATATTGAAAGAATATGAAAATATGAAAATATCTTTTTGTGAATATTTTTAAAGTGTTCAATTAATGACATTTCAGATCCTGCAAACAGAATGTTTATTTGTTCAATTTGATAAATTATAAATGGAAACGCTAAATGATAGGAGGGATAACATATTGAATGCAAGGATTGTTTAGAGTGTTTGCACTTGTACAGATGTCTACTTGTGTCTGTTTGTATCTTTGCAGTTGAACGTGTGTTTGCTGGTGTAAATGTGTATACACTGGCCAGTTTACTTCCCCCACTGTGACCCAGTCCCCAGAGCCCCTAACTGATGCGTGGCGGCGAGCCAGGACCCAAACATGCTGCTTCTGTGTTTTCTCTCCCCACTTTCCCTTCCATCGGCTGTGCTGCACAACCCCAACTCAGTCAAAGAGGAATTCTGCCCTCGGTGGGCTTGGGACCTCACGATACAGAGCCATCTTTTCACGCGGACTTCACAAACACACCAGGCCCAGAAAGAACCTCCCTTTGACAGGGGGGAACCATGGAAACTGGCACTGACCACAGGCCCAGTTTCTAGGTATCCTTGTGCCGGGAATCACACCCGAGTCCCGCAGACGCCAGAAGAGCAGCTAAGACAGAGGTGATGGCGTTCAGAGGGAGATGCGGTTTTTCAGGGGGGCCCTCTGATTGATTGGAGAGAAACAGAGCGGCCATTCTTGTCAAATGCACCGGATGAATGCTAACAAGCCTGAGAATGCTCAAGAGTGCATTCTTTAAAAAAAAAAAAAAAATTGTAGACTGTAGAAGTTTGGCAAGATAAGGGAGTTGATGGGGAAACAAATAAAGCAAATAAACCATAAGTAGGTGTGCATGTGTGTGTGCGCGTGTCAACAGGTTGAAGGGGTTCAGAGGTACCTTGCTGCATTAGTCTCATCTTTATATAGTCCAAAGCTCTTTGCAGAGAGCAAGGAGTCAAGTTTCAGTGCGTCATGTCTCTTTCCAGCACTCACTGAATCAACAGAAGGTAAGAGCTTCCCTCCACTTTACAGCCCTCCAAAAACTCCTGTCATGACCGATCACCTTACAGTCATGACAGTGTCAGTAAAAATACGTACAGTACATGCA